TATATATATATATATATATAGTTGATATTGAAAATAATTATAATTCATTTCATCATTACATGGTTATAACTTGTCATTTTTAGTGCCAACTGTATATAGAGTCTCATGCAAAAGTGTTGACACAATCAGCTGTCATTTTCAAATTTATTCAGTCATTGAAAAAAAATTGCATTGAAAAGAGAAAAGTCTGCAATTTTTAATAAGTATAAATAAAATTTAACAAAATAGTTATATATGAGTTTATTTTATTCAGGAAAAATATATTATTAGTTCTAAGAATTAATATTTCCGAAGTAAACACTATCAAAATTTGTATAAACTCATTTTTTAAAGGAAAATTCATAAAAACTTTTCCTACGTGTCGTTTTTAATATTTCTGATAACTTTTTTATAGCTATTAAATCTGATACCATTTTTGGATCGTATGTATAGTATTGGATTAATTATTAACTTAATCGATTAATTCATATTTTTCATCAATGAAAGTAAACTAATATACAAACATTTTATTAAATTTTATTTATACGTATTAAAAGTTGCAAATTTTCCTGTTTTCGCAATTTCCTTTTTCAGTAATTAAACATATTCGAACATGGTACCTAATTATGTAATTGCTACGCTTTCCCATTGAACACCATGCATGTTTGATATGACATAGAACTATATTTAAATACAATTATTATTACTAACATTATAACATAATAACTATAAAAATTAAACTCTTGACTATAATTATTTTATCATGCAATTATAATTATATACGAAGAGGACGGTTTTGCTGAAAGTTTCAGTAAATACATATATCTACACTGAAAAAAATATAGTCAATTTTAATAAATATTTAGTTGAATACCGCCAACTAAATATTTATTAGATATAAAGATATATTTATTTGATACAAGAAATGTTATTGTTTGATTTAATAATCATTTTTTTATTGAACAAATATTTACTTATTGTAAGTAAATGTTGGCAGTATTGAATTAAATATTTATTAATATTTATTAAAATTAACTATATTTTTTCTCAGTGTGAATAATTGTTAAATCAAAATAATTATATTATAGAACATTTAAATATTGAGGAAAATGTAGAAAGTTTGAAAGTTTTTAGTAACCAGTTTAAATGTCTTAGATAATTATTTTTTTTTGATGATCGGTACAAAATTGTTTTCAGATCTGTGTCTAGCTAAAATTTTTAGACTCAGCAAATCCATTCTTTCCGTATAAATATGTACGAAATAGCTTTCCTTTTCAATGCTGACGAATATGCTCTCTGTTATTTCGACAAAGAGACTCCATTCTGGAAATATCGTAAATAAAAACTGTATCATTAATCTCGCACACAGGCACATATTAATTAACTTTTTTAATTCGCGTCTTTTGCATGCATAAATAATGTGAGTTTTTTACAATGCGATCGCATCATCTATATACATTGAATAATTCAAACGGACGAAAATATAATTCACGCCGCGGTGCAATAGATAGAAGAGTTGCACGTGCACGTAAAATTACTGCGGTAATACGAGGATACGCGAAGTTCCGGGGGTTGGACCCATAAAAGTTTCAAGCAGTTTTCTAATTTAAACTCCCGATGCTTTCTGCTTCATTAAAGCCCTATCTTATCGAGCGGAAATATTCATGTAAATTGTGGCCTTGGTGCGCACCGTACGTTCACAAGCTGGCGCTTTGCGGGACGAACATTATTTCCATATCGACTTTTACGGGGCGACGAAAATTTATCGCGGCGCAAAAGCGCAGTGTTTTAAAACAATATTTTTGGAGATAAAGGGAGACAAAATTATTTTCATCCTTGTTTGTGGCTTTGTCGAAAGCAACAAAGTTACTCTGTTGACAAGTTGCCAACTGTCACTTCACTATCATGATAAAATTCGTTCTCTATGAAAAGGAATGAATTTCCAAGAAGAGGAATTTTTTTATCTGATTAATACAAGAGAAGAACAATTTTATTAAAATAATTAAAAATTTAGCTAGATATTAATCTGAAAATAATTTTGTCGAATCATTAAAATAATTAAAACAATTTTAAGTAACTTGACCACCATATAAATAAAAAAAACCACGTAATAATTTTAATTGTCCAAATCAAATTATTTTCAGAATGTATCTAATTTGTAGATACTCAGCAAAATTGTTCTGTAATGATTAATCTATTAGATAGAAAAAAGTGTAATCACTTTCAACCATTTTATCAGATTTTAGTTTATCTATATAAAAGATAGATTAAATAAAAATATTGAAAATGATGTTTCTTCCAACATAATGTTAGTAACGTAAATATCACTAAAATAATATAATTACACGTTTTACTTTTTACAATTACATAATTGAATATCTTCTATTCTGAGCTTTCCAAATTAACACACTTGGAAAGAAGATGCAACTTGATCTCTATGACATTTCTATTCTAATTGATCATCTCGCGTAGTTTTATCTGCGAATCTCAATAAAGTTTCATCATAAATTCTTTGTCTCAGAACACCAACGGGTCTGGAGGATGTCAGCAAGTATCCGGAGCTCTTCGCGGAATTGCTAGCGCATGGATGGTCGGAGAAAGACATTCAGAAGTTGGCTGGTCTGAATCTTATACGGGTGTTCAAGGCGGTAGAACAGGTAAATTATTCTCTAGTCGTAGAGAAAAAAGGAGAAGGGGATCATTTCTCCTCACATTCAACTTCTCGCATTACTTGATGAAAAGAGCGGACGCGTGTCGAAAGTGGAAAAGTCGCACCGATGAAAGGATAGAAGAAGAGAGAGAGAGAGAGAGAGAGAGAGAGAGAGAGAGAGAAGAGATCGGAGGAAAGCGCTCTCGTTTCTGCCACGAAATAACCGATGGCCTGGTTCGGGTTAGCCGAGTCGACCAATATCGGATTTAATAAAGCACACAAATCATGCATCCGGTCTGCGCGCTACATCGTCGGATGAGAGAGAGAAGCCGATTGGGCGAACCATGATTTTTGTTCCCTTGGAGTGTTGCCAGTCGTAGAACCAGCTGGCACTATCCACCACCAACCCTATCTAGTTCCCTTTCTTTCTTCCTTTCTATCTTATTCACGCCTGAATATGACATACAGCCATGACTACATATGATGTGTATATTAAAAGGCTCTGAAATATCGCTCAGCATCACTCAACACTGACATTTCGTAATATAAGTACACTTGGTAAAAGATAAGCTCGGACATTCCAGAGAGAGTCGTTGCACCTGGAACCTTCCTTCGCTCGTCAACGTTAATTAAAACTCAACGCTCGAAGCTTGTTTACGTATGAAGTTACGAGGATCGCAATTGTTCTCCGTTTAATAAAAAGAAAAAGTAATTAGTAATAACTTTTTACTATTATGTTTTCTGTCGAAATAATGATGGGAAAAAGAATATGGACGTCGCTGAAGAATTAAAGTTGCAATGCCTAAATTAAAAATGATCTCCATTTATTCATTTATCTAATTATAATATTATGTCAATATTTGCTAATGGAAATATATCATTAAAAATTCATCTGATTCTCCGCTTAACTAAAATTGAATTAAACTCTCTCTAATTTGATTCGGCTTCTACACTTTGGTCACTCGATTAATGTCTCGTATATTTCAATGTTAAACGCCCAGTTTCGCGGAGTGCAGTCGAATGCAGATCGTCCAAGAGAATTCCGGCGCGCCTGAAAATGTTTCAGTCCGGATATTACCCGGTGGTACACGCCCCGACAGGAATGATGTGAGAAATTATGTGCGCCGGATGTTCCGGATGTTTGAGGACGCTCAGGATGGCCGTTGTTGAAATTACTGTGATAATTTAATTGCGGCGCGGCGTGGTCAACGGAACCGCGGGTTATTCGTCCGAAGCAGGAGTTGTTTATTATATTTAGAGAAGAATGTGTATCATACTTTTGTACGTGTATATACATACATTTGAATTGTAACGTAATAAACGCGCCGCGTGAAAGCGTAAATTTTGCGTTCACGTAGCAATCCTCTGAGCGTCGGCTTCCGTAAAAACAAAGACACAGCGATCACTCCAACTAGGATAGTTGGAATTAATAGCAGGATAGCAGAATTAAAATTATCCTCTGAATTTTCCAATGATTTATCGTCGTGTCGCGAAAAAATGTCGCGTCCGCGGCTTTAAAGGAGTGAGAAAACTGCGAGACGTACAACGAAAACCTAATGGTTGCGTATTATTCGTAAGCGCGTCTTCCCTGTCACGGCTGTTTTAAATTATTCCAATCTAACTTGGCGGATGCAATTTTCCAGATCCGACCGCGGAGAGAATATTATTTGATTATCGGAATATGAAAATGTATGACTTTCTACATCGAGGATAATTTGTAGCGCTCGAGTCGCGTAGAATTTCTGCGCTTATGAATCCAATTTCTTCCGACTAGCAGACGACAACTTGCCATTAATTCACAATGCGCAAATTCGTGGAGAAGTCGACATATCTTCTTACCTGAGACGCGCATACGCGCGCACACACACACACACACACACACACACACACACACACACACGCACACACGCACACACACACACACACACACACACACACACACACACACACACACACATACACACACACGCACACGCACGTACATTTGCACTACGCTTTTCTCATCGCAATGAGGTCGACGAGGGTGGGCAAATCCTTTGAGCAATTCCAACTCATCTCATCGCCGTTTTCCGCGCCATCGTCGTTGGCGGTGGACTGGGTTATATGAGGCAGGCGAGAAATGTCGTAATTGCTGAAATAATGGTCGTGCCTACAGTATGGCACGGCGAACAAAACGATGGCGATTACATTACCTTGAAATTCAATTCCGCTATTGTTCCTCGCACGAAAGGGACGGAATTCGTAGGAACTTTGATACTGTTTCGTAAGACCGCAACTCTCCCGACAAACGCTTATCCGTAAGGATCCGTCCAGAAACAGTCGTGCAAATTCCTCGGGCGTAATGCAATCAGTGTCGTGTACATTCACATTATGTAAATCGCCGTACCACTTCGAAACACGCTAATGTCGGGTCAAGATGACTTCTTCATTTACTCTTCCCTTTGTTTTTTAAGATAAATTGTAATAACTGTGATCCGCATATTTCTCTTTTGTGTTCGAGAAAGGAATTTATTTTAAAATGTTGCGAAAGACCGCACGTATGAAGTTGTTTTCCTTTCTTTTATAAAAGTGTGTACATAACAAAGGCTTTACCTTTTGTCATTGGCTTATAAAAGCAAAAATAGAAACAGTATAATAATAGAAATAATGTAATGTGAAATAGCATAATGTTTTAATTATACTAATATTATATTTAAAATAATGACCTTTTCAAAATATTAATTATAATTCAATTTTAACGTAATGATACAATTTCTCAGGAATATTATATTGCGGGGATTTATTTTCAATTTACGGAAAGCAGAATTGAATTTCGGTCTCTTTCTTCTTAAGATTTTTCCTTCCTATTATCAAATCCCTTTCATTAGCAGAACCACTGATGAACAATCATCAACATGCCACACGCAATAATGCAATTAGCATCGCGCATACCGTACCATTATTGGCTTGCTGCGTATCGATCGCTACTACATTCTGTTGAAAACATCTAGTTTTTCTAAATTCCGCCCTCATTTCATCCACATTTTATCTCATCGAAACAATTTTATGTCTCGTAAATATCGGAGTGCGTAAAATATATGTATCGACAAGTGTGATATACTATCATCCATCAAAGTATCTATTTTCGAGAAATACAAATTGTAGTGCGATCAATATATAATTATATGAACATATATTTATAATACATTTATAAATATATATATACACATAAATTATGATAGTTATATAATTTATTTAATATATAATTGAATTTAATTATAATTTAATCTATCATGAAATTGTTTATAGAAGTACCCGTATATTGAAATGTATCAGTTTTCAAAGAAATACAATTGGGATGATTTAAAAATATACTCTCACTTATAGCATTCAATTTTTAAAAGAGAGATTGAGAGATAACTTTCTGTGTAATTCAATTTTAATAATAATATGAACTTTAATAAAATGTTGACACGTTATATAGCTTCAGATCTATCCATTAATATCTCACATTCAATATGACGTACTCTCGTTCATTTTCTGAAGATATTTTCTGCAAGCACATAAATCAAGAGGAATTTAATTTAATTTTTCATATACAAGTATTAAACTTAAATGTCAAAGTTTAAGAATAATTTTTATTTCGCGATATTTAATTTTTAGAATAGAAATTCACGGCTTTCACAGCTTTGTGCAGTTCTCTCTCCAATTCAGAAAAATATGAACTATAATAAGGCAGTCTCATTTATGATGAAAATCCTTCAACATCTATTAATTTTTAATCTCTTAGTAGTTTCTTCGAACGCACGATTAAAATTTTGAAGTAAAAAAAAAGTATCAACTTTAAAGTAGAATACAGAATATAAAGATTGGCAGAGAAAAGGCTATTACATCTGTGAGATGTCCGTATTGTTGGCGTTTATACCGTAAGTACCGTAACGTTACGTGCCCGAGGCATGAAAGCGACAATAAAGGCGGATTTGATTAGACTGTCGACGTCCTCCTATATCGCCCTCTCATTTCCTTTTCTGCGTTGTCTCGTAGCCGGAGATGCGCGCCGCCATCGCTCTCTGTATTCGTTTAATTGAAAATTCAGCGAGGCGGCAAAATGAAGCTTTACGTACACAGGATTTACGTCACGGAGTGTTGAACAAAAATGACGTTTATAAACGTCTAACATAACACGTGATATGTCTATTTTTTTCTAAAACATTTCTCCATTGTATGTTATATTAAAATATATATAAGAGAGAAAGAAAAGGAAAAAATAATGAGTCGAATAAAATTACAATTTTCATCTTAAATATTGTGTACAAAAAAATTATCTTTGTTTTTTTAAGTACAATATTTCTTTTTTTAAATATAATTCTTTTTTCTTAATAAAACTTTGCAATAATTTTTTTTAATCTACAGATATTATTTTAAAAATATTTCTCTTCTTTAACAATTAATAGTCTAGTATTAATATATGCTCTTCTATCTCCTTCACAGAATATTGGTTTCTCCCAACACAGATAATCAATGACCGAAAAATTACAGTTGCGTTTGCATGACGTAAATATTTGTGATAGGACGCCATCTTTCTGCGACATTCGTTTAATTGAAAACTGCGGGATGAATTTTGGACGAGAGTGAAATTTATGTCACGCCATTCTAATATGTATTCCAGTGGGATCGATCCCAAACGGAGAACATCGTTTTCTTACTTTATGAAAGCAAAATAAATTTTACAAAGAGTGGGAAAAAAACGTGGCTAGCATTTCCAAATCAATAAAAGCTTTTTACATCCCGACGCTTTATCGATAAATTATTTCAGCAAATCAAGGAGACTCTCTTCCTCTTCGTGATATAAAAAAATTTTACTTTTCGAAGCGCCAATGGGAGAAACGTAGAAAGGATCTCAAATTTAATGACATTTTTTATACCTTTCCTCTATATGAAACATTCATTTCTTTCATTTCTTTTCGATATCATTGATGCAGCGTACTTTCAATCCTTGTATCTATTTAATTAATGAAGATACATCTACTCAAACTTATTAACTTTCATCAGCGTAACAGAATTTCAAATAATTAGTAGAGAAGAGAGTAGAAAGCATAGTGAATATTATAGCAAATAACGAAAAATTTTTCGAACCACACTGAAGAAAAGTCTAGTAATATAGCTAGATATAGTTATAGTATTATAGCTAGATATCATTATAACAAAATTGTTATTACTTTTAGCTACATTATTATTTTTTTCAGTGCTTTGTATTACTTCTGCTTCAAATTGTACTGTGTTCAATTGTAATGTGTTCAATAATTTTGTATATTAAGAGAATGCTATGCTATTTTGGAAGGTTATTAATGAATAGTGACTCTGTTAATTTTCCTCTTATACATTTTAATGTACTTTAATATAACATTTATTATATTATAACTAGATTAATATTATTAGGTTTTTAATTTATAAATTAAGATTACAATATAATAAGTTATAAATAAATACAATATATTATAACTGTATTTTGTTTAGCATATCGGTGTAATATATGATGAACATTTTAAATATAATAATATTAATCTGTTCAATAATTAAGAAAGTAAGATAATATTTAGAAAATTAAAATAAGAATTTAGTTATCCTGGCAGAAATATATATGCAATTTTTCCTAGACATTACATTCAGTTACTATTTATATTCTTTATTCTCATTAGTTGCAACATTATTGTGTATAGGAAATGGATAAGAACTTAATAGATTTATTTAGTTGCTACGAAGCATTTGTTCTGATAAAAATACGTGCAATGTGCGTAAATACCAGTAAATACCAGTTATTGTCTAGTATTAATAAATTATTATTAGTTAAAATCCATTTATATATATATATATATATTATCCTGTTTATGTTCAGCAAATGGATTCAAACATTGTTTCTGAGGAGTAACTACAGATGTTAAATCTAGATTGGTTAAATCTAGATTGGAATTTTAAATATAGTTTTATTTTTTTTTGTCGTAGTTACTAGAAAAACAAAAGTTAATATACTGTTCAGTAATTGTTCAAAACATACATGAAATCTTCATGAGAATAATTTTGATTATATTTATCAAACATTTGACTGAAATTATTTTATCAAAACTTTAATAACTATAACCAGACTTTTTTTCAGTGCATGCATGAAGTTTGTTTTTCAATTCTTTTATCGCCCATCTCATTTTGTTAGTGACGCACATAAATTGCTGTCCATATAGCAAACTACAAATGCGTTAATCTCGTCTCGGAATTGCAAACTCTGATCCACGTCGTGTACATCGCGGCGATTTTTCGTCATCATGCGGAGCATCGCTGACGCGTCGAAGCTTTCGTCCGTCGCTTCAGCCGTTGAAAGTTTCGTTTTCGGCTAAAACCCGTGGGAGGTTAATGGGCTTCACCGAAAATTGATGGGCGCTCGTGTATGCTCGTGTGAAATACTCACACCGGCGCCAATGCTTTTACCCTCCCGTATGCGCTCGTCTTTACCTTTCATAGACGCGCCGCGCGCCGCGCCATCCTGAGAGGCACGCGGGCTCCGATCTTTTTATTTCATCTCCTACAACGGCAATCACCAGGCACAATTTTTCCTGAAAACATTCGCGAGGTGCCGTGGTCTTCCATCTTCGCCGCTTCTCTTCCTCCCTCTCGTTTAGAAGCAGTCAAAATTCATTTCGGCTTTTTTCATGAGCCACCGGAATGTATTGAAGAAAAATGGAGGAGAACTCGTCTTCCGCTTTTAAGCGCGCGACGAGCACACTTTGTAAATGTATTGATCTGCTCACTGATACGAGCAATTTAATCTTCTTACGTACGTCTAATCATTTCAAGAGCCTTTTAAATCTATAGGAGTTTGCTACATCGTGAATCACTCATTGACTTGTGATTCATGGATGTACAGGTATGCGGATTACAATGAGTGATAGACGGCTGTAGTCCATGATTGGTAGTATTGTTCCACAAGCACCAAACGCTTCGATACAAGTCGACGACTATGGCAATGCGTAGCAAAGGACTAAATGTATAAATCATCATAAGCCACGCTTTAACAGTCAATAAATCATATTTACTACATCGTAGCATTCTCTATGTGTGCAGATTCGCGACAACCTGGCCGCTGAAGGGATGGAGCCGCTGGAGGAGGAGATCCCGCAGGAGGATATAATCGGTCGTGATTACTGCCGTTACAACATAAAGCGTCCGATGACTTAAGCCGGAATCTTCTCGGCGAACGTCGCGAAATGTAACTCGCAAATGAGTGATCGAAGCAAAAACAGAGAGAAAATTTGTATAAAATATACAAAGAAAAGAGAGAGAGAGAGAGAGAGAGAGAGAGAGAGAGAGAGAGAGAGAGAAATAGAAGGATGAGAGGAGTGGAAGGCAAAAGTTCACTGCCCCAACGGGAGTAAAATTCACCCTTTACAACTTTACCACCAAGTTTGTAAAACCCCTTGCGTCTCCTAGAGACGACTTGGTATCCGTTGCACATACAGATATGCACATGTTTTCTCCCTTTCTCTCCTTTTCTCTCTCTTTCTTTTTCTCTCTCCCTCTCTCCCTCTCTCTCTCTCTCTCTCTCTCTCTCTCTCTCTCTCTGTCTCACCTCTTTCGATCCTTCTCACCGTTACCCACGATTCTCATCTTTGTACGTAAGTAGGTAGATAAACTCGATTTCCGCCAAGGAAAAGAATCTCAAAGTCAGGAGATGTGAGTATTCGCGAAAAATATCAGGACGGTCAGTGAAACATCAGTACGGCGACTAAAGGCATAGCGTTGCAAATAAAAATTGTAATTAGACTAACAATGAGCATCGCTAAGTTATTTTTAGAGATAAAATAAAATCGGACTTGTTTTTCTTCCGTCTTTTAGTTCTTTTATGATTTGCTTCACAAAGAAACATAGTAATGATAAAATAACAATTACACAAGTTTTATATCATTCTTGTTTCAAAAGTGATACAACTTTAAAAATTAAGTTTTGCAGAAAAGGAAAAAGGTATTTTTCAAAGAAAATTATTGATTAATCAAATAATAATATCGGCAAAAGAATATATATTCTTATAAATTATAATTTATTAATTTATTATTAATTATAATTCTTATAAATTATAATTATAAATTATATAATTCTTAGAAACATGATCCAAAATTGCTTTTATTACTTTTGTGTTACAATCCTTAAAAATTACCCTCTTTGAGTTGTAATATCCTAAAAAATTGTAAATCCAAAATAATTGAAAAGTAACTCCAAATATTATCAACAGTTTATATTTACCTTGATCTAGTTTCAAAATAAAATAATTTTTTCTTCAAACTTCAATTACCAAAACTGCCTTAACTTAAATATTCTCTGCAGAAAACGCTACGCTCATTTTTTATTTACAAAAACAATACAATTCAAAATGTGTCAGTCTTATAAAAGATATTGTAATCTCTTCAAAAATCTTTAGAACAACACAAGTGCTATATTTGACAGACAGACTGTGAAATTAATTGACTTTAATGATTGATAGAATAATCTTTACCTAATTCCTTCGTAGTAATAAAAAATCATATTTTTTTAATAGTGTCACTTTTGAAATAAGAGAATATATAGAATTAATGTACGCACATATATTAAGTTAAATAAACTATTTTATAATTGTTGTAACTATAAAATAGTTTATTCAATTATATATATGTACATTAATTTTATATATCAAATTTATATGGTTATCACTTTTGTAATTGTTACTATTACGTCTTTCTCTGAGTGCACAAGTGTAAGATTTTATACATTATAATTTGTGTATCTGTATGTAATATGTGTGTATAATTTCTAATGTTACATATTATACACGATTTCGTATTATGTATTGTTATCATCGGAATAATATTTATCATAATAATTCTCGTTAATCGATGTGTTAATAACGTTAGCTTGATGTTTCTCAAAGTAAAAAGATTGATTAATTATTCTTAATTGCATCTATCTTTATATCAAGATTAGAATTTAATTTAAAAGTTTAATTTTAATTCAATCGACTTGTTTTATATTTTGAAAGATTCTCATATTTATTAACCGTGTCCAATCTAACCGATAATGAGCAATAATAATGTTACAGCGTGTATTAATGAAGCGATAGCCCATTAATTTGAAACTACCACGAGTAGTGCTATTGTAGTGCTATTGATTACTGGAACGAGATATTGGCAAGCCATTGTACAATTTAATTACTTACCCTAGAAGCAAAATCAAATGTATGATGAAATATATGCAGAATTACGCTAAGTGCGTTCGATAACACCAACGCACCTACAAGCTTTATATGATAATTCAAATTAGTGTTCTTGCATTGTAACTCATTCGCTCATTTCAATTATTTAATTTATGATTTATTTACTTCAAAGAACAATGCTCCGTATAGTTGGAATTTAAACTTTGGATAAATTTTAACAAACAGCAGAATACAATTTAATAAAACGATTGAAATCCATTATGATATCCAATTACAGCGTTGCGGTACTGATACATACACTCGTCATGCGATAGTCAAATGAGAAAGCATGCCTCGCGTGCTTCGTTGGTAAAAGGGTCAAAATTGGCTGTTAGTCAAGCTGTTAATGCGGCTGGGAAATGACTAAAAGCGAAGGGCGAAATATTTGAAAATTAGCACGATAACGAAGCGGAAACAAGCACCTTATCACTGCGATACGAAGACCAACGCGTTTGTATAAACAATTTAAACAATTTAGCCATGGGCATACTCGATGTTAAAATTTATACTCAACGATTTCCTCGTCGAAGCCGGAACCAAAAACTATCCTAGTCAATAATTTATGCTATGTATACATCACGACCGATTACTTACGACAAAACTGTCGATTTATTCGAGTACGAATGGACGATTGTTGAGAATGTAAAACCGTGAACGAGAGAGACACGTGCTTTGCGTACGTGTGTACGTGTGTGTACATGCGTGCATGCGTACATGCGCGCGCGCGCACGCGCGCGCGTGTGTGTGTGTGTGTGTATTACGTGCAATGTCCGTACATGTGTGAATGGCAACTTGTACATATGGTACCTGAAGTCGAAAAAACATATTATTCCTCTAGCACGTCAAGCCGGCCATGTTGGATCGGAGAACCAGGTCACCGAGTGTCCTCGATCTTTTTTAATCTAGACATGGAGTCGATAACGATAGCTAAAAATTCATGTATCTCGATTGTAACTTTCACAGTATTGTTTTTTTTTTCTTTTTTCAAATCTGGCCTCTTAATCTCGCCGACCGGCGACCACGATTCCAGATGGTAGGCTTGACCAATCGTGATCATCGGAGAGCTACGAACGGGGCTAATCGCGAAGCAACTCTCTAGCGATGTCGACCAAGTCGATGGATAAAATGGTTGCTTGATAAAATA